CTTATTTTGTTGAATCATCACCTCCTGATTTGAATAGCTGACATACAAACTGTAAGTAGGTAAATATATGAAAACAAAGCAATCCTATTTGGCTATTCACTATCCTGAAAATCAGCCAAAAGCGAACAGTTTCCTATATAATAGGATACCAATTTGACTAGGAAAGACTTATCTAGAAAATCTGGTGAAAAATTAAAAACCATGTCACTTGTATTAAAGCAAACATTTAACATATTTTTTTTTTCACAGGTTGTTTATCAGTACTGGCAAAGACATGACATTAAAGGGGCACTTAATGCAACGGAGAAGATGGCAGATCCTGCAGTAAGTCTTTCTTTCTGTGCCCTATTCTCGATCTTGAAAATAACCCTTTAACAAGATGTGGTAAGGAGAAGATGGCAGATCCTGCTGTAAGTCTGTCCTTTCTATGCTATTCTCGACCTTGATAGTTAACTTTTTAACACGATGTGGACCTTCTGATGCATGATACAGGTGCTTGCTGATGTAATAAGTTTTTTAACAGAGAAAAATGACATGATTACATTAGAGATTTGCACATGCCTTCTACCACTACTTGGGGGGTTGCTTGAGAGCAACTTGGATAGGTACAAATTTGAGTTTGATTATTTTCGTCTGTGCTGTAATTGTGTAGTCTGATTCTCATTAGGCTTTTGGTGACATTCTTTAGGCATCAAGACATTTCATTGATTATGCTGCTCAAACTTGTTAAAGTATATGGTTCAGTGATTTATTCTTCAATGTCTGCACCAGCATCAGTTGGTGTTGATATTGAGGCAGAGCAAAGGTACTATCTCATATTTTCTTATATTTCTGTGCTTTGCTATTTTCTAATTTGAATGTTTTTCTTCCTTATTGATAACTAAGGATGGAGCGCTACAACCTTTGCTTTGTTGAGCTTGAAAAAGTAAAAAATTGGCTGCCCGCTCTAACTAGGTGCGTCAGTGCATCTTCACCCAATTTTGGTCCAAATGTTACACAATTAAATTTGCTCTTTCTATTTATTTTCGCTTATTCATTTGTTCATTCAGAAGGGGAGGGTCCATTGCCAAGTCTGCTCAGGAGCTGAGTCTAGCACTTCAAGATTTTTCGTGAGTTAAATGCAATATTGGATGGATTAGTAAGAGTTATATTTTCGGCAGTAACCATGATGTTCATATGGAGTGGCTTTTGGAGCTCTGGAGCTGCCTGTGCTTTTACCTTGCAGAGTTAGCATTCTGCATGTATATTCCTGCCAAGACGAAAACATTGACAACTCATATTCTTATTAACTGATTATTGAGAGCTAGGGGACAACTTGATCTACACGGCTGCTGCTCCAAATGTTTGGCAATTGAACGTGCATGGTGGAGGATCCATCGTATTTATTCACATCTAACCTTGGATACCTGATATTCACATGTCGATTTGTATTGTAGGTTTGAGTAAAGTCATGTATCCATATGATAATTTCAGTTTCAATAGAAGAGTGCTAAGCTGCGTGAAATCTGTAAAATCTTGTCAGCCTCGACAATTAGATAGATATATAGCATTTCTAACGAGTAATCTTGGGCATGACACAAAGAGTGGTATGAAATCTATGTTGCAACTACGTTGTATTTGAAAAAAAAAAAAAAAAAAAGAAGAATGCAAATTGCATTTTCTTGATGTTGGTTATAAATTCTCGTTTTCTATTTGTTTTCATTCTAAACTGTCTCGACTCACGAACCAAGTCTTTATAATTTCAGACAATACTCTTGTGACATGATTTTATTGACAATATACAGTAATGCTAGTGTTGATTACACAATTATGTGAGTGTTGCATGGTACTACAAAAACCATCAAATTCTTTGGAGGTCCACTTTGCCTCAAACTGTTAATTCTCAAGTTCTATTATTTGTCTTCAAACGGTTATTATTCTTGTTCAAATCAAGTGTTTGTCCATAAATAATGTGATATTTAAAAATAGCTATAAAAGAGGATTAAATTGTAATACCCCTATGTTAATTATGTTAACATATATATGAATGCGGTTGGAGTAGGGATGCATATAAGTTTGTTTGGTTGTGAAGTTTATCGGCTCTACTTATTAGTTATCAATTTGTAGATATGTTAAATTGTTATAGAACTATTAAGATATATTGATTATTTATCGTGATCGGTTTAACCGTTAAGTTTTCACACAAAAAAAATCATTGAAAATCATTTATTGGAATTAAGGCGACAAACCAAATGAACCATGCACATAAGTTGACATACTGCATATTGCTCAAAATCAAACCTTGACACCTTATAGAATAACCGAGAGTTTGAGACAATCCAAAAGGTATGAAACTAAACCCTAAATCAAGGACTTTATATTTCGATTGGTATAATTTTTTATTTTTTTAATTTACTATTTGGTTATTGGTTAACCGGTTAGAAATAACCTCAAACTGTTTAGAACTGATGACCCGATGTAAAAAAATCATAACCATTATCAAAACTACTAAATCAATAATCCATTACTAATAAACCAATAACTTCTTTCCAGTTCAGGTAATTGGTTTCGATTCGATTCGATTCGATTTTTAACAAACTCATTTTGGAGTGTTAAACCAAGGTTTTTGGCCAAGGGAAACCTTAAAATAAAAGTTCAAATCAAATGATACCTTGTGGAGGGTCACTTCAAGTGATCCAACATATGATATGATTTTAAACAAGCACATCTCCCAACATATGAAGAGTTAGAGGGTGTAATAACTATTAAATTAAAGATCTTTGAGCCTAGTTTCCGGCAAAATAAATCGCTCGTCAATCTAAATTCTATATCAAGAGTTAGGGAAGTTTGAAGAAGACATTGTCGGGAATATTTCTCCTTATGATCGACTCTTGTGTTCACGTCTAAGATATCATCTTTGAGATTATTCGAGCATGGAAAAAGAGACTATAATTGTGTCTAAAGTCTATATTTTGTTCAAGTGTACAAAAGTGAAAGTAATTGTCGAAGGGAATAAAATTCCGAAAGCCAAAATGTAGGTTAAAAATACCTACTTATTTAGATGTCTTACTTGATTAAGCGAGCTACTTGCTAAGACGTTCAACTTGATAGAGCTACTTATATACGTGGCTTATATTAAATGAAAGGGATAAAGGATGAAAAAGTAGGACAAATAGGCGTGTCACCTACTTTAGGATGCATGACCAAAAATTGAAGTGATCAGTCAAGTAGATGAATCACCTACTTGGTGTTGTTAGTTGTAAAAAAAATTCCACCTCATGAAAAGGTTGGTTGTTGACATTTTTGTTGGAAAACGAGGATGTGACGACTTTGATTATTTGGAAGTTGTGTGGACATGGTGTTCATTTGGTTGAGACAAACATTTTCAAGGCCCCCTATTTTTTTAGCTCCAAAATATATGTTTACATTTTACTTATAGCTATAAATTGGAGAAGAAAATTGAAAGACTATACGTACAAAAAGGGTCTAGTCGCTCACTTAATAGCTAACAAATTATCGATGTAACCCCGCGTGTTAAAGACTGTTTGTGATTATTATTGATCTGGATGTATTTACACATCCAATCACCATATTCATATTTAATTTAGCTAATTTTTGAGTATGAACACACATATATTCACAACTAATTATGAGTAAGGGTTATTGAACTTAGAGTAGAGATGAGGATAATTGATTCTTTATAACAAAATTTTTGCATGAATGGGTGATCATTTTATAGAAAGATCGTTTTTAATGGTTGCAAACATTAAGAACTCGTCTGTATTCTAACTTGCTTGACAAAAGAGGTTAAGATTAGGAAAACAAATCATTATTAGGGATTTAGGGCTACCAACCCGCATCTTTTAGGTTGAGCCAGAGATAGGATAACTAACTTAAGGCATATGATGATGAGAAAATTAATTTGACACCTAAGTAATGACAAAGACTTGGGGTGAAATTCTCTTAATTGGGCTGAGAGACTTTAGGAGACTAATAGATTTGTCAATTGTGCACAATGAACACACCTGAATAAAGCACTTTTCGATTCACACATTTGGTGCCATAACACATTGAAGCCCATTCTTCTTTCATTCTTTGATGAGCCCCAAACATAGGTGTTTGCCTACATCACTGATTTATACTTCGTTGTTTGCATTCCCTCACTCAAACTTACGCTTTCAACCCATATTTTCATCACTAGCCATTAAGGAGGATAAGTGCTAGAATGGTAGATTCGAAAAGGTCAAGGTGTGGTGCTACATGATTTCCAAGGAATACGTTAACTAAGATTAATGCCAAGGGAAGAAAACTTTAGGCAAAGTGACTATTCAAAGAGGGCCTAGGGTCATTTTCCAAGACAAGCCATATTTAGGATTTTGCCTTAAATCACATTTGTGGTAAAGTTCTAGACGACATGCATATACAAGAAAAAAACTATAATCTCACCACACAATACAACCAGGTATACCTATACTCAAAATAAATTAAACCTGACAAACTACAATGAATCAATAGTGTAACACCTAAGTGCATAGCTCAGATGGAAGTTGTAGTTTGAAGCTTTTGGTCTTTACGGATGCTAGTAACCAGCTTCAATGAGAAACTATAACCTGATTTCTGTGTGAAAAATCATATTAAATAATAAACTGCATGCACGCACAATGTTACTGTACATAAAGAAATACTTGTAATCTAGTCCATTCTCAGATTAATCAGCAAGCTCACCACGAACTAATTAAGCAGTTCTATTGCTAAGGAGATGAGATCACACATCTGAATAAACGGACAATGAACTGCTGTACTGATCTTCTTTCTATGGAGATAAAAATTTCATATATACCTTTAAACAAAAGAAATTTGTACACATGACTAATACCAAATTATCAAACATAGTAAGGTAAACTCACATGAAGATGAGACAATTTAAACTCATTTATAGAGTGCCCCTGCTGTAAAGTTTGTGAATAGTGCAAAACCATTTCTAAGGCATTTGAATAACAAGGGCCCAACCTCTAATCATTTTATTCCTCATCTTCACTGTCCTTCACTACCCCATCTTCATTCTTCTTCACTGCCACATTATCAACATTTTCTTCATCTGCCTCGTGATGAAAACAAAAGAGAGGATCGGACCACAGCTCATCCTTGATTATCTCACCGATTTCATCCATTTTATCAACTTCACTGAACCACTTAAAGAAGCTTCGTTCATCAACTCCCTTGCCTTGTGCCCATTGTATTGACGATGCACTAATTTTAGTACGCCCATACTTCTTCCAAAGCTTTGTATTCTCAAAATATTCATTTGAATCAAAATTGAAGATAATGATATAACCTGATATGACATCTTGAGAGACTTCCACTTCGATTGAGCTTAGAAACTCAAAAATCTTGCGGTCCTCTTCAGTACATACAAGCCCACCAAGTACGTGATGCCTCAGGAAAGCTGTCGACCAAAAGCCAGGAATATCTTTAATAATATTTGTTCTCTTGTCATAAAACGGTTGACGGTTCCGATTGTACTTTTGTGCAACTTTCAACAACTCACCACTCGCCTCTTTGTTAATCTTCTCCAACTCCTCTTGTAACTCTTGCAATTTTTCAATGCATAGAACGAGTTGATTTCCAACATGATCAATAACGTTATTGTTTTCATCATCCTCAACTAATTTCTCCATCTTCCTCTTCCTCCTCTTCTTCTTCTTCCGTTTGTCATTCCCAATCTTTATTGACAATTCATTAGTCCCCCGAAGTAAATAAGTTTATATGAACTCTTAAGTTGTTACTCCTTCAAATTTCTAATAAGATACATATTATTTAAATTTTGAGTACCTTGTTCAAATCAGCACGTGCATCGGTAATCAATTTCATATGCTCCATCTTCAAATCCCAAATCTTATTCAATGTCTCTTGTTCACAAGCATATTCCTAAAAATAACAATACTAGTAATTCATGAATTTTGTGCATATAATAATAAAAAAGAGACAAATTAAAGAGAAGAGACACTGATTTATACCTTGTTGAGAACCCTAAGAACAAGGGTCATGAATAGCTTTTGAATTTGTAAGCTCTTCAACAACAATTTAAACTGGAGAACAGTTGTGTTTTTATGATTTCCTAGAATCCAAACCATGGTTTTCAAAACAAGATTTATATCTTCTGCCATGCTTTTTATATCAAATTCCCAATCAAGTGATCTTTTTTTGCTTTTTTCTTCCATCAACCTGGACCTGCTGCCCTCCATTTTTTTGTTCCACAAACACATATTCATCATACCTTCAGTTTTAGGAACCAAAAAAGATTTTTTGAGTAAAGAAATTAAAGAGTAGCTCAAAAGTACTACATTTCTCTAAACAAGACTAGATAAGTGGTGCCCGTAATATCTATGTATTTCCAGGCATAATTGATTTAGATACATGCAATAAAGTTAAAGAGCAAAGAAGGAATACAAAGATAAGCGGTGTGTAGTAGTAGATATATGAATAAATGGATCCAGCAACTGGAAAATCAAACTATAACAAAAGAGCTTTATTATACAACTAATGGAAAACAGATACATATAAAAGTGAGGTTAAGCTATTTTGTGTATCTGCCTAGTTTGTATAACGCTAAATTCGAGCAGCAAAAATTGATAGATTGAGGAAAAAAGGAGGTTTCTGATCATTACTTGATATATCTTACAACAACATTGGCAGTCATCCCTCACTTCTGAAAAGGGACGAAGAAGAGAAGAAGACAAAAGCTACACTCTCATAAAAACTTTTAACTTGTTTTCTTTAGGGAAAATATGGATGCATTGTGTGTGTCCACTTCCATCTCCCTCTTCCTCTGTCTCATCTATAATTTTGACCGAAAATGGAAGAGATCAGAACTGAAATACACGAGGAAAAGACCCAAATAAAGAGTCCATTGCATTGAAGCACTTTTGAGGTGTTTGGATAAAATTGAAAAAAATTAGTTTTGAAATGAGGATCTGCAGAGTTCAAAGTAGTTCACCAAGAATCGATGAACACTTAAATAAGCAGAAATGTAACCAGCATAGAGACAAAGTGTTGGACAGCCTAAGGAGGTTATCGACATTGGCAATGAACATATGAAGTTTATCGCTATAAACAATCACAAAGATTAATTTTTTCCAGATAGTAGACGTTACTGTGGGAAAAAATCATAGATGTTAAACAAAGAAGATGTATTTGCGACAGAGAAAAGCATGTGACGGAAGAGGAAATGAAATAAGTGAGTCCAAATAGACTGTAATTCATGATTAACAACATGTAACAGTAAACTCACGAAAACTTTATTGTAAATAGAGATAGATGATACATCATAACGAAAAACTAAAAGAGCAAATGTTGGAGATGTCTATTGTTGTTTACCATGTCAATTAGCACTCACTCACGGTGAGGTCAGGATGTAAGCAATTATACAATGTATACTATTTTATTATCGGGTGATACATGTATGGGGAACGATGAGAGCAGAAGTAAGAAGTTATAACTTGAAATTTAATATAAGCAAAATAGTAAGAGATATATTGTCTTACTGTTTTTGTTCTTCTCAATATATATATATGGCTCTAGTTTGAGTTCTTTGAAGAAATTGCGGGTCCTCAGTAATCTGTAATATAGTGATATTAGCAGACATGCAAGTAAAACATAAGCTGGAAGATGTTAAAAAGCATGAGCAATAATAATGTCACAGCAGGTATATTACTAACACACATTGTCAAAGATAATAAATTGCGCGAAAGCGTTGGAGCAACTTGTTTTGAAAAAGTGGGTGGCTCAGTAATATATAAATTGGTGATGTTCACTTCGTTTTAAGCAGAGATAAAAGCAATAGGAATATTTTTCAAAGTGCAGAGAAAAATCAAAGAGGGTAATACAAAATCAAAAGCAGAACAATTAGAAAGCGAAATTCTATGTTATGTGTTGGGTCAGAATGCTTAAAAGTGAGCAGTAGAGATGGAGGAAGACGAAACCTGTCTACATACTCATTCAAATGCTTGTATATAATTTCAAGCAAACTAACTAACAATTGAACCAAAAAGTTCAGTGCATGTGTATACTCGGTTTAAGCACAAACGATTTGCTACTGCCAAAAGTCCTTTTTTTCTACAAAATTCCATTTATAAAAAGAAAAGTAAATATATTACTAATTAATAATCCAAAAGAGGGGAAAACAACTCCAACATCGAACTCCGACTGAAAAAGAAAGCTCCAACATTGCAACAAGAAATAGTTTTGATACAGACAGAAAGAAGCAACTCCAAGCATCAAACACACAAAATTAAGCAGACATGACATGACCTGACCTGCTTCTATCAACTTGTCAAATCTCAATATCAATACTTATTATTACACCCTCCGTCACCTTTACCTCTTCGCTTTACATTTGATTAATACCCGTCCACTTTTAATTCTCCTAGTTTCCTTTTTTAGAGTCAGATTATAAGAATTTTGACTAACATTATACAATATATTTTTTATGCAAAAAATTGTAATTTATACTACTTTTTGTATGGTTTTTGAATATTTAATTTCTTTTTGTTTAAAATACCGAATTAATCTAATATAATTTAATTTTAAAAATTAATTAAATTGACTTTTAAAAAACACAATATGACAATTAAAAATGGACGGAGAAAGTATAATTTTATCATAATATTAATATTAATTGATATTTAGTCTTTAGGTCTTTCAAAATAAAAGTAGAAATCTATTTTTAGAATAATGAACAAATAAAAATGAACGAAATGAATAATATTATTTCCCATAGGAGTTATAGAGTATTTGACAACTTCCTAAACATATATACACTAAAACTTCACTAAATTAATATAGGTGGTACCATGAAATATTATTATTTTATAGAAATATTATTTAATTAATAAATTAATATTCATTAATTTACAAAGTGTTTTGAAATTAGATAAAGGTTAATTTTGATTACATCAAAACCATTTGGAAATTATGTGTGGTTCATAATCAAATAGTGGTACTTATATATTTCACACTAGGTAAATAAACTACCTCTATTAGCTTATATCTTATTATATTTGGTGTATAGTTGTCAAAGTTAATGTAAATACAAAAGTACATCTTTTTGAGTTTGGTGAAATAACGTATGACCATTTGAATTGACGTCTCAGCAAGTCCTTCAAAATCGTTGATGGTATTAATTTGCATTGTCAAAAGACATTTTTACTTGTTTTGGTTTCGATCAATACATTCAAAACATATAAAGCGTTGCAATTTTTAATCTAATGTATAAAAAGACATATTTAATTATGTTGGGACTGACTAATTTGGATTCATGATAATAGACATTTCTACAACAATATAATCTTTATTATGTTTGTGACCTTTATTTGATAGAATATGGGGATATTAGCACACTCCCGTCATTATTTCTTTGTGGGATATTATATAAACATACACTTAAGCTTGGCTTTAACTGTTAAATTAATAAATACTCTAATTTCGAGTCTCTATATCTAAATGCATTAATTCATCTCCTCTATGTTAATTATAAACAATCCCACTTATAAAATGGTATACTCTTGTAATATATTTTTTTCTTCATTAAGTAGCAAATGAATCTTTAAAAATGTGGTAAAGCACTGGCCGGCTATCTTAATTCTTTTCAAATATAACCGAAAATACCATTGCGAATGCCAATATTAACTATTTTCACTTACTTTATTTGCTTCAAATTTTTTCGTTATCTTCCTCTATATTAGATATGAATGAATTTGGAAATACTATCCTCCTTGATTGAATAACTAGGACTTTTATTTGAACTTGCAACATGAACAGGAATAAAAAAACAAGTACTCTTAATTAATTAATTAATTCTTAGTCCACTATTTTCGTGGCTTGTTATCTATCTTCCTTGTTTTTCTCAACTTGGAGCAGATTTCAATGTTTTAAAAAGTCCCTGTTATTTATCCATCCGGACTCACAAATTAATATGAGATTCGAACATTTGTAACAAAGACGACTACAAAAGAGGAAACAAACAGAGAAATTCCCTTCATCGTTTCAACGCTGGACAAAGAACAATTGTAATAGTAAATAGTCACTCGATGAGTCAAAATTCAGACAGAGCAAACTAACTCCAAATATCATCATTTGTTATATATCTTTTATGGGAGACGAAGGAAATATACTAGTTCCAGAAGAAGAATAGCGCCACTGGTTTTATTAATGCTTGTCTATGAAGAGAGTAGGTGTTATGAAGCCGACAAGGTTTTTTTTGGAAATATATTAAATATGAATTACTATAACCCAAAATATTTTCACCTAAAATTTCAGCTATTCTCTCTCTTCAATTAAAACACAAAATTTTAATTGAATGAAAAACTCAACTTTGATTTTTAACTCAATATTAATTTTTAGTTATAAACTCACTCAACTATAACTATCAGTGTTTTACTTATTAAGTTACTCAACTTATTCAATTAATTTTTTAAAATTAAAATTTACTTAAATGAAAATTTTTATTTCTAACTAAAATTGTGAAAAGATGATCCACCTACTTAACTCGATCCGCTAAAAAATATTTTACCTTTTCCCCCAAAATTTAATAGTTATGATTTATTATTTTAAGAACCTTTAAATTCGGTATGTTTTATGATTTTTTTCCTACACTATGTTTAATCTGTGTTTATGGGAACTTCTCTACCGTTTGAAAAAAAAATAAGCATAGTATACTGACGATGTTACATAATTATTTTAGCATAGTATAATTGGCAGTTCAAATAGATACTTATTTATTTTTTTAAAAAAAAATTACTAAGAAATAAAAATTGGATGTAAGTAAATTTTAACTTAAAAAAATTAATTGAATAGATTGAGTGACTTTTTAAGTAAAACACTCATGATTGAGTGACTTTATCAAAGTTGAGAAAATAACTCATAATTGAGTGACTTTCTCAGAAAAAAGTTCATAGTTGAGTCACTATTTGAGTTATTATCTCAAAACTTTACGAAACAAATAGAATAGTAGTTTGAGAATTTACACACAAGATAAAAAAAGGGAAAATTACCTACTTAAGCAAATATATACTACTTTATTATTGGTTATAGCTATAGTTTCTGAAAATTACAGCTCGCCTCTAACATTAAGTTACAATTACGTGGCACGACTTTTTAGTTTTATATAAACGTGTAAGCTATCTCTCTTCCTACATACAAGTTCATTCCTTCTCTCTCTTCATAATCCATTACCTTATTTTCTCCTTTAATCACTCAAAACAAATTGATTTCAAAATTTAAAATTTTCATCCAATCTTTCTCAAATCTGCTACCAGATTTTTGGGGTTACTATTATGCAATTTTACTTTCTTCCTGCATTTAAAAAAATAATAATATGTATATTATAATTTGTATAAACTCTTAAACTTTGAATCTCCATATGTACTCATTTTTTGTACAAAATGCATTCGTGTATATATGCCTTTTCAAATTATATATTTCTGATGTTTATGTTTGTATACATTATAACGAATTGTCTAGTATTACTATAATTATACAATTTTAGAATTTATATTATATCGGAAAGGAAATCCGATTTTAGGTATTCAAATTGTATATTTGTATATTTTTTGTCCTTGTTTTGGGATTTCTTTCTCAGTTATACTCGAAATTATATATTGTTATTTGAATTGTATATTTATGATGTTTTGTGTTTTGTATAAACTATATTGACTTGTTTAGTTTTATAATACTTATACAATTCCAGAATTTACATTACTTGGGAAAATAAGGCTGATTTTATGCAGGTGCCCTTTTTATGTATCCAAATTATATATTTGTAAATATTTTTGTCATTGATTTGGGATTTTTGTTACAGTGTACCAAATTTGTATAAATTCATGATTGTATTTTGTAATTCAAATTGTATATTTCTATATTTGTTGTCATTGTATTCAGATTGTATCTTGTATAATTCATTTTTATACAATTTATTATGAATTACAGTTTATTGTCAAACAAGCTTAAATGGAGGTAGACCAGGTATACATTAATAATGCTACCCTTGAAGTGTGTAATGGAGGAATATGCAATTGCGCAACGATTTCAATTTAAAACAATTTCAAAGTATGTATAACATTGTATAAGTTTGTATAACAAAGTGTGATTACTGGATTGTTGCTACGAAGGAATTGTGGTGTATTTGGTATGAAGTCTAACGATTTAATATTCCGCGAATTACGACATTGTATGCATTTTCCCAACCGAGATTACCGCCATTACCTTAAGAAAAAATGAATTTAGTTTTGTATACAACTTTGAAAAGAAGTGAATTATACAAACGATCATTCCTATAGCAACTAAAAATATAGCTACAGTCAGTAATTATTAAAACAATAGTTAAGGAGAATAATTATTTTAATTATGGTAGCTATTTCCGTAAGTTGCCCTAAAAAAAAATAGTAAGAAAGAAAGAGAAATATTTTGGAAAATAACAAATTCTGCTTTCTTTAAAGGTGAAATACAAAAAAAATCACACAAAATGATTAAAAAAAATATATTTTTAATATATGAAGAGTGAAAGTTGTTGGATATTAATTACCCTGAGTTTCTTGCCATAAATAAGTTTTTCTTTTAGGAGAAGGTTTAAGATTTGACTGGTCTTTTTCTTGTAGGAAAAGATTTAAGACTCTGTAAATATAGGTTTATTCCTTCTAACTTAATCAACATTCACAATGTAGTCCTAAAGGTTTTGAGAGCTTTGGTTATGGGAGAGAATTTGTGAACCTCCTTGTATTCCGAGTGAATTGGTTGATGTTATTTTTCTCTATATTTTGTAACCTCATATTGATATAGTGGATTGCGCATCTCCTTTGTGGATGAAGGTCGATTGACCGAACCACGTTAAATTTTTGTGTCTTTTGGTATATTTCTTATTTGTCTTCTTACTCGTAGTCTTTGGAGGTTTACTTTGCTAACTTTCGCATTACACCTAATTATTTCGATCCTAACAAAAATTTACAGTCAAAAAATAATTTAGCTTTCATTAATAGTCATGTCAATTGTCAAGCCTTTTGATTCCTTCTTGTGAAATCTTTGTTGCAAAATTTTCTAATTACGAAACCGATGAAGAATAATGAAAAGAGAGTTTGGGCTAGGGGTAGGCATGGTATGGTATATATCAAAATTTCATATATATTATATCAAAAAATTTAATACTGTAATTTTAATATTATGGTATTTGGTGTGGTATATGATATATATTTTAATTTTTTTGATATTCGATACTTATTTGATATTTAGATATGACATACCGAAGTATATAGTTACATAAATAACATATACATTATTAAACTACTAGTAACAAATATGCAACCTAGTATTAGTATAAACTAAATGTTTAGAAGCTAAAATTTTAACTACTCTATTTTGATTGAAATGTATTTGAATTGTAATTGATTAACAAAAGGAGTTGTTTGTACTTTATTTTGCATATATATTTCTACATGTGTAATGTGTTAGTATGATATAATTAAGACTTTTTTTTTAATTGTCGAAGTCATAATACTCTATTATACAAGTATATATTAGTCGAAGTTGAACAAATTATGGTTACCGATTACCATACCGTAAAATATAGAAACCGAACTTCAATATACCAAACCATACCGAATTAAATTGATATGATAATGATATAACATTTTAAAAACCGAAAACCAAAATTATGATATCGAAACTTTCAAATATCGTACCGTACCATATCATGCTCACCCTAGTTTGGGCTTAGTTGTGAAGATCTCTTTTTAAGTTCTACTCTTTGTTCACATTGCTTCCTCCATTTCTTTTTAGTTGTTATGTTATTGTTTTTGAGAATCGATTTGACTAATTTTTAAAGCTAAATTAGATTATATTAATTTGATATTTTAAAATAAAATTTTAAATATTCAAAAACTATAATAAGAAAAATGATTTAAAAATGAGAAATAAAGATGAGTGAAAATCCTCCTTCGTGGATGCGCATCTTTTATATATGATATCTGATTTATGATATGGTTATTTGAGATGATAAAATAATGTGTTATAATTTTTTGTTTTCTTATTTTGAGTGTAGTGTCATGGATTAGTGTGTTTCTAGGAAAAGTAATACATAGATAAATTATTTCAGTTGTATTGTAAACAATTATATCTTTAACACTGAGTTAAAAAAACCTAACTGATATGGTTATTTATTTGAAGATAAATACCAGAAAAAACTAAATTCCCTATTTTGGTGCTCACATACGTTTTTTTTTTTCTGGCAAAATACAGATTTGTAATATTTAGTTAGTTACTCAATTTTTATATTGCAATTTTATTTAAATAAAAAATTTGAAAATATTTAATTTATAATTTTGAAACAGATCTTCAAATTTTTAATTAATTTTAAATAAAATGGTTATGTCACGTTGATTTTAAGTAATTCTTAATTTTTTAGTAAAAATAAAAAATAATTAATAAGAATTACATATTTAGGGGGTTGTGTATTTCTTTCCAGCGTTGCATGCTCCTCCTCATTTGTTCGAATTGTCTTTAGTTTCTTTTGTTCTTCTTTTTTAAAGATTAAAAAAATTACAAAAGAAAGTAGTAATATATTTTGAAATTGTCTTATTTTTAGGAACTCATCAATTGTCCATGTTTATTGAACTCTTCATATCAACACCCTAATTTTGTCAAATGTAGTGATTAATTATTTCTTGAATTCTATCAAATTCAGTACTCCTCCATTAATCTTGGCCAGCAGGAGGCCTATCGAGAATCAACTCTAGCATGCCTTGGATTCCATCCTAATTATGTTGCGAGGTCAACAGATCTTTCAACAGTTCGAGCTAAGTTTGTCATCAGTGACTGACTGACTGACTCCCTTCCAACGAGTACGGAGTACCTTCGGCCATCCTTACCATACAGATCTTTTTTAAATATGCTTTTCATAAATCAGTATCAGTGCCTGTCAAGTGTACATTCATATTATATATACAACACAGCTTAGCTGCAACACTTATTCTAATGCCAGCAGCTAAGATTTAGATATACACTAATATGGTACCTCTTAATAAGCAGAACCACTGCATCATCCATAGAAGATTTTGCAAAGACGTCCTGGAGCAAGAGAAATGAAATTCAACAATAGGATAACTAAAATAGTATTTGATTATGCAGATTAGGACAGGAAGATAACTCTGCGCTTTGTCCATTGGAAAGATCACCGTGTCTGCATCTTGGTAGTTCATGTTCGAAGAGTGCCTTAGGATGTAGAAACAACACCATCTATCATTTTCTCAATTACAAAGGTCATCTGCTGCTCCTTCCATACATCCTTCTCAAGATACACTTCATAAAAGGTTGCGTCACCAGAACTTCTCACTGCCAGTGAAGAAGTGCTTCTTGTGCCAAAACGCCCCTATGCACCAGCCGTTAAGGTTTATTTATTGTTTTAATCAAGAACAGGCAAATACGTGAGTGCTTCTTTAAGTTGAAAAAAGATTAAGAGAGGAGGTAAAAGTAATACCATGGACATTTCAGTGTCAACGAATATGGAGCTCAACTGGTACTCACACTCGGGGGAATAGATGCCTGGCAGGTTGCTATCTTCTTTAGCCAAGTCTCTCATTATTCTTTCAGCTGCGTGCCCTATTGGAATTTCAGATTCGCCATATTCATCCAATAATTGCTTGAAACTGTACTCCAGCCGTTGAGACTGCGAAAAAGATTGTTAGTATATGGAGGCAACGGCATTCTTAATAATCTTAGGCACTTCTTTTGCAAAGAAGGGGAACTCATTTAAGCTCAAGATGCTTCCTATGTCATGATAATGCTCAGAATAATAGTCATTTGTTGTTACACTGCAAGAGAATGATCAGTCTGGCAGATTTTCTTGAGCATGACTGGATTGAATTGGATCATGCAGAGTTTACGATTGAAGTTGTGAAGTGCTGGAGCAATGTGGAAGGGAAAGGTAGAAGAAAAGGTGGAATTTATTATAGGCTTGTTTATGGTGGACTGTGTGTAAAGAGAGAAATCCAAGGTGTTTTGAAGACAATAGCAGCTCTAATCAGAGAATTAAGATGAATGTAAACAGTATTTGTACTTTTGGTGTAAAGGAAAATATGTAGAGAATACTTAATCATTACTAGACTTTCTAGAAGCTTTGTACTTGTAAAAAGGACAAGCTTTTTTGCTGATCTGAATGGTAAATAAGGTGTCCAACATTCCTTAATGCTGCTGAATACACAGTTAGAATTCTCCAAATCAAAAATAAAATAAAAAATGTAGGCACCTATCAGAAAAGAGAAGAGTGGACACAACAGCATAAGAGAGAAAATCAAATGAAACATAAAAGATAAACTGGCTTAGGGGAAACTCAGGCAAGCCAGTAAAATGAAATCTGCTCCACAAGGTTGACAGCAAGCAAAAACACTTGAGAACTGATAGAAGCCAAAAGCATTAATGCTTTCAGTATTATAACATAAAACCTGAGTTGCAAGTTAGAGAAACAATGCGAATGCAGACTGTTCAATTTCTCTCATGTTACAAGTTAGACCATGCCAACCAACAAGTACAGGACAATTTAGGATTTTACATTTAAGTTTGATGTCCTTCGAAAAAGCTAGGGGTATGGATCTGTGTTTTCACTTCTTTTCCTTTACCCCTTTTGGTCTTGGAATGAGCGTGTGACTTAGCATTAATATATCCAAAACAACCATTTGTAGAGCAGTTATAGATATAAACCATTACCAACTTTTGCAACACTATTTTTTCCTGCTCTGTTAATAGTCTGTCATCAAAGGAAGGAAGTTTTGGAATTGAACATTAAGTGTGGGAAGACAAAAAAACACTTTCCATATGAATTGTTGTTACTATGTTCATGTTCATGTGGATGCTTGAAATTGTAATGCTCGTCTCTTTCTGAACTGAGTTATTGCTCTCAGAACTTTTTAGTTTATTCTATATAAGCTTTGTCGAGTTTTATCATAGGGAGGTCCTAAAAACTATTTAACACAATCTCAGGGTGAGTTTCTTATTTATAAATTGATAAAGCTGTCCCTTAATCTAGGTAGTGAATCTCTCTTTACCAGAATTGCATGTTGCTAAAATAAATTAATAATATCCATGACCTGGCCCTTTTTTCATCAATCTCGTCCATCAATGCGTGGTGACCTATATATCTCAACGCTCCACAACATAATTATCCAACAATTTAAATTCAGAAATGTTGCATGTTCTTTCTGCCTCTTAAAGAATATTTTGTTTTGACTAATTAAGCGTGATTATAAAGGGTACTGTGCTTAATTACTATGAAAACTTATATACTACTGATCATGATTCATCTCCACGATACTACTCTCCTTCCCAGTGTGGTACACTCCTTAATGATGTTAGACTCTCCTCTAACTGAAATGGAAATTAATACTGCTCTTAAATTTTTTAAGCCTTTTAAATCTCCGGGGCCGAATGGATTACACCCAGTTTTCTACCAAAAATTTTGGCTCCAACTTAAGATGTCAGTCATCAATTTTTGCAATAACATTTTTTTTCCGCTAAGCAGATCTCTGAACTAATAAATGAAACCTTCCTTTGTCTTATTTCTAAGGTCCAAAGCCTATCTTCCATGGCTCAATACAGACCAATTAGTTTATGCAATAGGACATACAAGCTAATCCCAAAATTATCGCAAATCATATTAAACCTCATATGCCAAACCTCATCCATCCATCCTAATCTGCTTGCTTCAAAATCGAAGAGCGTCCGATAATGCTATTATAGTTCAGGAAATCTTGGATCACTTTAGAACTTCTGAAGCCAAATGAACCAAGATTTACTAAAAATTGACCTCGAAATGGCAATCATAGGCTAGAATGGAACTTTATTAAGCCAACCCTTGTCAATTTTAATTTTATACCTGATCTTGTAAATCTTGTTATGAGTTGTATCTCTACAGTCACAACTCAAATTCTCATTAACGGAGAATGTTCTCCTGGATTTTCACCAACTAGAGGGATTAGTCAAGGAGATCCTTTATCCCCGTATTTATTTATTTTATGCATGGAAATGCTCTCACACCACATTAATCTTGCAGTTGATTACCACACTTGGGAGCCCTTTAAGATCAAAAATTTCGCGCCTCTTCTATGCGGATGAAATTATTCAAGCTTTTAAATTAACTACTAATAGCTGACACTGCTGTTATTGACCATCTAAATTACTTCATGGAAGGAAAAGCTAAATTTTTTCTGTCCTCTCTCCTACCTATACAGGTCAATGTGCTACTATAGTGCACCAGCTCGCCGGCATGGCTAGGCCGAGAAAGGAAAGCAAAGGAAGATTTAGACTTTTCCGACTGAAAAAACTCGTTCCTTTTGATTGTCATGTCACTGGTTATGGGAAGCGCAAGAGTGAACAGTCGGATCTAGCCAAAAGAGTGTTATCACCACCTCGGAGCACCGATAATGAAGCCTCAGAGGCATGGCCAGCGCTACTTAGGCGGACTAGTGAAACCTCTACTCCTCCTTCTACTACTACTGGAAACCTTTCCCTTGTTCCACAAGGATCGAGTGCGCCACATGCAGTGACTGCAAACACTTCCTCAGTGTCTAGATCTGTTCCAGCCAATGGAACAGTAACTGAATCTGGGCTTGCTAGGGTTGAATCTGGAAGCAAAGGTAAAGGGAAAGGAAGTACACTAGATGTAAACCACATCCATGAGGCCGGCCAAATTACCTGGGTGTTCAGGCAACTGTTGAGGCCATTGTAATTGGGGTTCAAGGGACAAAGCTAGGTCTAACCTGTTTAAGGGCAATAAGCTAGCTGAGAAAGGTATAAGACTTTACTTTCATAGCTCCTAAAATCCAGGTTGGACACAGAAGATCGTGGAGCTTCCGAAAGTTGAAATTGATAAAGAGACTCAGAAGTGGAAGACTGTTCTTATATTCTACGTGATAGGAGCTTCACAGACCATTGCAAGTTTGGAAAGGTTCATTGCTAGTAAATGGTCTTCTACAGCCAAATCTAAGATACACTGTCATGATGATGGATATTTTGTCCTCAAATGCACTTATTTCGAAGATAGAAATGAAATCTTATGTGCTGGACCTCAAATGCCCAATGCTAGCTTATTATTATCCAAACTTGGACTCCTGATTTTGACTTTGCTACTGAAGTTCTGAAGACTATTCCCTTGTGGATGAAGTTTCCCAATCTCCCTCTCAATTGTAGGAGTGCAGAATCCCTTAGTAGTAGAACTAGGAACCGCTCTTTATGGCTGATGAAAGTAGCACACACCTTGAAAGGATCTCTTATGCTAGAGTTTTGGTGGAAATGGACATTACAAGACCTCTCCCTCAAACTGTGCTGGTACTTCATCCTAATAGTAGGACGTTTGATCAAGTGAATCAATATGCTTGGAAACCCATGTACCGTGGCACATGTTTGTCAGCTAGGTGATGACTGTGCCAGAGATAGACCAAGGCAAGCTGAGAAGGGAACAGAAGCAACAGGCACAAGAGACTAACCAGAATGTTCTTCAGAGTGGAGGGAAGAAAAACCTACTCATCAGGGGTTGTCCAAAAAACCAAGAGAAGGTTAATTTCCTATCAGCAAGGTCCTCTGAAATTTAGGCAGGAGTGACAAGTTTCAACGGAAGATCCTCTGCATGGTGAGACAGGGTCTAGTCATATTCCTTCTGGTGAGGCTAGGTTGGAGGATAAATGGCATATTACTAAGAGGAGATCAGCAACAAACGGTACATCAACCTCTAAACCTGATACCTTTTCCACTGGTAATAATTTTGAGGTCTTATCACCCAAGCTAGCATTAGGAGGACAGGGACATCCTGATGCACAGCAGGATAGGGTCTTATCATGATGAGACACCTGGAGGTAGTGCACCTCCTTTGCTATAGTTTCTTTTTTTTTAACTCAGTAACTTTGTATTATATCACAGCCAGTACAACTCTTGTACTGAAACCTTATATACATAAGTACTGCATTGTGTTGTTATGTTTTTGGTGTAACCAGGTATACTCAAATGATATTGTCTCTATAGTTGATGTTTTAGACTTAATTTAGGTTCAGAGCAGTGAAATTTGCAGCACATATTTTTACTTTTTTACAAGTTCAAAATTATATACAACAAATTTCAATGTTTTGAACCTAAATTGAGTCTAAACATCAACTATAGAGACAATTTCAATTGAGTATACCTAATTACACCAAAAATATAACAACACAATGCAGTTTAGTTTAACTTTCTGCATACTATTCTCTGTGCCCTCAAAACACCTAGAATTCCTCTCTTTCCTGGTTGACCACCCTATAGCAGCAGGGATAATTCTCCATCTATCTCTGTTTTTTGCATGTACTCGTGCTTCCTCCCAGCTCTTCAGAGCCTTTGAGACTTCAATACGCTCATCACACGGAATGTGAGGGGCTTCAATACGCATAGGGAAATGAATAAATTTATAAAGGAGAATGATGTGGGGTTCATACATATTTTAGAACATAGAGTAGGAGCAAAGCATGCATCCAGAATTGTGAAGAGAATTGCTCAAGAGTGGAGTTGGGAACATAACAATAAATTATAATACTGCTGCGCAGGGCAGGATATATGGCTTAACTGGGATAAGCATAAACATCAATGTTCATTTCATACAAACAAATGACGAGTTAATTCATATTAAAATCACCATTGGAGGTATGCACTTCACCTTGACAGCAATATATGGATACCATGCCGTGGGTGATAGAAGTCCCAGGGTGCAGTTAAAAGTATATAAATAGTCTAACAAAGTCATCAAGAAGAAGATGGATGAGGAAGCAAAGGAAAGAAGTGGATGAGGAAACAAAGGAATTTGTTACCTTAGGCCACGGAGAGTCTAGTGTTGCATTTGATAAAACATGAATACCGGGTGAAACCTCAGTGACGGACATACCGGTGTGTTTTGGTCGGTTGGTTATATAAAGCATAGTCATTGAACAAAGATCAGCTACTATCAAGTTAAACCCATTATATTCACCTGCTTCTTTCAAAAGTTGCTCTGAAAAATCATGAGGGCTCTTTACACTCTGCAAATCAAAAGTTAATTAGGCGTTTTAATGGATAAATAGAAATGCCCAGGTAAAAGGGTATAAAAATTGATGACCTTCAAGAATCGAAGAGGAAGGTCTCCCCTACTTTTGGTATGTGAATTTGAATTGATTTCTCGAACATTAGTAAGGAAAGCAAGTCTTCCAGTGCGAGTACAAGCCAACCAAGTCCCACCAGCAACTTCATCCCTTCCACCAAGTATATCACTATCTTCCCACCATGACAAAGGTTTCGTTGGACTTGATGATAACATTAACAAACGAATCATAAACAATAAAACAATGTATAGAAGAAGAAGAAAAAGATAGCCTACCGATTGTGGTATTCATCTCTGTTGAGGAATAGGAGGAAGGGATACAGCGGATGCGCTTTCCATATGAACACCGCTATACACATGTTTTTTTTGCCAAATCGCTTCTGTTCTATTCTACTCAGAAGACGACTGCTCCTTTTTTTTTTTGTTAGTTAATTTTTTTTTTTATTATTAATTCAGGTGCATATGTTATGGGAAAAAAATAATAATTATTTTTTGATAACTTAACGCGTTCAAAGAAAGTGAAACACACATTTTTTGCCATGTCAACATTTTGAGTCTAATTGGAATGACTTTTGAACAAATAAGGTGTTCAATTGGCACAGGGATAAATTGAAGTGTCTAAGTGAATTATGCGGACAACTTTACGTGACCGTAGATGACTTAAGCCATATATATATATATATATATATATATAGCATATGATGTTGTAAAATAGAATTAATATTACTAAATTAAAGTTTTTAGTAAACAAGGAGTAATAAGAAGTGTTTTAAAATTATTAATACATATTGTCACAGAGTTACTTGTATTTTGACATCAAAATGACCAGATATTATTAAAACATTTTAAAATAAATTCAAACTTTAAATATGGGAGAAAGTGACATTTCTTTAATAATATTATTTCTTACTTCACTCAATTTTGTAAACAATTCTAACCAACAAAATAGAAAAAAATATCCATTAAAAAATTGTCACTAATAGCCTTTCCTCTTTGAGGTTATGAACATAAATGATGTACACCATTTAAGTAAAAATTTTGTCTTAAATATTCATACTTGAAATTTAGTATGTGCATGACACTAATAAGAATTACCATAAGTATTTCAATATTTTATCTTTATATGTAACATATCTTTTACAAAATATTATTACTCAATTAATATTTGAGTAAGACTATCATAGAGAGACAATTTTACCAAAAAATGTACTTGGTTATTATCATGAATGATGGTTATATATACTTTAGTAGAAAAAATTGATTTTAATATATGAATAACATCACCTATGGTGAAAAATATTTCATTTCATTAAGTGTCTACCTTATCTTTGTGGAATTGTAGTCTTCTCCTTTTTTCTGCCGCATACATATCATATAATTGTTGTCTAATGAAAATATCTAGTATCTTATAGAAGTTATATCATGATATAAAATATATAAATTTTTCAATAATTAAAATTAATAGATGAATAAAATTTAAAGTATTATTTATAGAATCATTAATTTAATTTAAGATCATTTTATGATCAATCACTATTTTCTTATCTATTTTTATATAGCTAGTAAGGAGTGTATCTTGTGACATAAAGAAAAATTATATGGAACAATATTGATATACCGTGAGTTTACAGTATTTTTAACACATTTCACGTAAGAGTTGTGTGTGTCTAGGGCCTTTTTGTATTGGTTTTTGTGTGTTTTTATCATGTTTTGCAGGAAAGATGTTTAGGCACGGAAGTAAAGAGATAGCTGAAAGAAATGCAAAAAAGGGCATCTACAGAAGTGATCTACGGGCCGTAGGTCCATTGACGCTCCGTAGATGGTGAACGTAGATTAGCAGGCAAGGCATGGAAGGCAAATCAGGGAAATCTGACGTGGAACCATGTCGGCCATTGACGGTCCGTAGATTGATCTACGGTTCGTACTGGAGTTCCGTCGTTTGCTTCAAAGAGGCTGATTTTTGGAAGCTGAAATATTTTCCAAGTCCTGGCTGACGAAAGGGACTCACGGACCGTAGATCCATTGACGGTTCGCGAGTCAGTCTCGTGGAATGAAGACACGTTCTTGAACAAACTTTTCTTATTTTGTTTCCCTTTTAATTTAGGACTCGTTTTCTATAAATAGGGTATGTAAACCTCATTTTGGGGGGTTAGACTTTATTACTTTAGTTCTATTTTGTGACTTGGGATTTTATTGTTGCAAACCTAACAATTCTTGATTTCCTAAGTTGGTTTTGAAGATTTTGGTATTGAGATTCAAGTTAAAATTCTGGGTTTGTTATTCTCAATTACGTAAGTTGATAATTCTTTCATCTAAAACAATGAATTGTGTTCATATGATTATGGGTAACTAAACTCCACAGCTAGGGTTGTGGGAACCATGAGTGATTAACAAAGTATGAATAGTAAATAAACAATTCTTGAATAGTTTTTTGCATGCATTGATAATTCTTTCGTTTAAAAGTCTTTTTAACGGTGCGCAAAGTTAGAACTCGCCTTGTTGCTACTTGCCGGACCAGGGAGGTAATCAATAAGAAAAGAATTATCAACTTAGATTTAGTGTGATACTATCTAATAGTCTAGTGTCGATTGGTGCGAAGTAATACAAAGCCAAACATCGATGTGATGTCTAATATGAGGTCAAGGTAAGGGTTAGTAAATTATACACACGTATCCGGACCAAGGTGCGGGGTGAAATTCTCTAGATGCCGAACCAAGGATTTAGAGATACCTAGCTTATCACTTTGCATGTAGTACACTAGGAAATGATTGCTATTACTAGGATTACTGCTTATGAGCTTGTGGGGAACATGTATACCCTAGTTAATTCTCCCATCTTGATAACAACCAAAGTTGACTTTTGTTTACTAATTACTTACTGAATTCTTACAATTTGTTTCACAACCCCCCCTTTAATTACTTGTTTCTGGAAGTAATTTGACTAAACGAATATAATTGTTGGTTAAAGTGAAGTCTAAACCATTTTTCTTGTGGGATCAACCCCAACCTACAAGTTGGGTTCTTTACTTGATAACGATCGATTATGCTTTTTTAGGGAGGTGTAATTTGAACGTATCAAATTTTTGCGCCGTTGCTGGGGAAATTGGCTTTTAGATTTGAACATTTGTCAAATATTTCCTAATTTTACTTCTTCTTTTTGTTTTTGTCTCTCTCAGGTTCTGACTCTAGTGTATGCCAAGTACACGTAGCCAGGGTGAACCACTTACTCCTTACGATCCAGAGTTGAACCGAACTTTGTGAAGAATGAACAATCAAGGAGTTCAAGTTAATCCTATCGGAGGCAATCTAGGTGATGAAGTTGAGTTGCAACCTCCGAGGGTAGTTGGTGGAGACAACCAGGTTCTAGCTGAAAATCAATTGGGAGATGCAGTGAGGGTGCATGGTCCACCAGGCCCACAACTGCATGACAACTATAGGGGCAACGTCAATATTGCTGACTCTGATGGACCTCTTGTCCTACCCCCTTTGCCTCTGGGGCACACATTTGTAGTGACCAGTAGCTTGATGCAGATGCTTATAGCGAGGGGCTTGTTCTCGGGGTTGCCATCGGAGGACCCATATGCTCACATAGCCAAGTTAAGGGTGGTTTGCAAGAGCTGTGTAGGTCGACCAGACTTAGATATGGATGTCATCGGATTGCGAGTGTTCCATCTATCACTGACAAGCGATGCTGTTGTATGGTTCACTGAGCTTCCTTATAACTCAATCTATACATGGAACCAACTGAAGGATGTGTTCTTAGCAAGGTATTATCTAGTGTCCAAGAAGCTCAATAACAAAGATAGGGTCAACAATTTTGTGGCATTACCTGGAGAGTCTGTGAGTAGCTCTTGGGACAGATTCACTGCGTTCATAAGAGGTGTTTTGAATCACCGTATTGATGATGAGTTGCTGAAGGAATATTTCTATCGAGGTCAGGATAACAACAACAAAGCAGTGCTTGATACTATTGCTGGAGGTTCATATGGTGAGTGCACATACACACAAATTGCAGAATAACTGGAGAAGATCTCTCGCAATAATAAAACATGGAGCGCTAGGAGGTCGGATACTGGGAGAAACACATTTGCCGTTCATGCTACAAACAACCAGTCTGCGGATGAGATTTGTGAGGAGATGGCTCAGATGAGGATCGAGTTGGGGTTGATATTGAAGCATGTGAGCGGAGGTGCGGAAAAGGTAAATGTTGTGAACTACTTGACTAGAAATCCACCACATGTTGAAGAGTGTTACTATGAAGAGTATGCTTATGTGGTGAATGATCAGACGGGGGGTTTCCGACCAAACGCCCAAGGATCCAACACGAAAAATTGGCGCCAAGGTCAAGGAAACCAAGGTCGGAACTATGCCAATTACGACCGAAAGGGTCAATATGTCCGGAATGGGAACTTCAATCGCGACAACAACTACAATTGAAACAACTATGGAAACAGAAATGATCGGGTTGGACCTTATGTTCCCCCTCAAAATCGGGAATCTAGTACTAGGGAAACTGGAGGCAATATGGCGCGGATTGAAGATATGATGCAGAAGATGATGAGAAGGTTTGATGCAACTAATGGGAATGTGAATGAGATGAGAAACGACTTGTCTGGAATTGGTCAAAAGGTCGATGCCCATGCAGTGTCAATAAAACATCTAGAGCAACATATGACTCAGTTGCCTACTACAGTGAACCCACGTTTACCTGGCACTTTTCCTAGCAACACCATCCAGAATCCAAAGAATAATGGTCATTGTATGACAGCTACTACTCGAGGGGGTAAGCAGACCATTGATCCACCTATGCCGTTTGTGGTGGATGTTGAGATTAGAAAAGAAGATGATGTGATAGAGGTTAGAGAAGAGTCTGAGAATGCGACAGAGAAAGAAGCGGAGATATCTCAGAAAGTGGTCCCCATACCTAGACCTCCACTACCTTTTCCACAGAGGTTAGTGAAGAAGACTGAAGATGGTAAATATCACAGGTTTATTAATATGTTGAAACAACTTTCCATTAGTGTTCCGTTGATAGAAGCATTGGAGAAAATGCCTGGGTATGCAAAGTTTATGAAAGATATGGTGACAAAGAAAAGGTCTGTGAATTTTGAAGATGATGATAGATTGCAGCATTGTAGCGTTATTGCTACAAGGTCTCTTATGCAGAAGAAAGAAGATCCTGGTGCTTTCACGATTCCGTGTACTATAGGGTTGTTACACTTTGCTAAGGCATTGTGTGATCTTGGTGCTAGCATCAACTTCATGCCTTTGTCTATTTACAAGAAGTTGGGTCTGGGGACCCAAAGCCCACTGCAATGCGGTTACTAATGGCTGATCGGACTGTGAAGAGGCCCATAGGTGTGCTCCATGATGTGTTAGTGAAAGTAGAGTCTTTCATCTTTCCG